GTACACGAAGCAGGAGTTCGGAAACCCACAATTTCGCCATTCGCTGATAGGAAAACAATACAGGGGCTATAGAGCTAATAGTACACGAAGATGAGGTTCGGAAGCCCACTGATTCTAATAGTACACGAAGAAGGGGTTCGGAAACTCACAATTTCGCCGTTCGCTCGTAAGAAAACAATACAGGGGCTATAGAGCCAATAGTACACGAAGGTGAGGTTCGCAAACCCATTGTGAAAAACGAGAAAACAGCGTTCCTCTTTTCCTGCTCGCTTTCCTCTTCCTCATCCTCCTCCTCCCCCTCCTCCTCCTCCCCCTCCTCTTCCTCCTCTCATCCTCCTCCTCCTCCTGCCCGTCCCCCACCTCCTCCTCCTCCTCCTCCTCCTCCCCTCCTCCTCCTCCTCCTCCTCGTCCTCTCCTCCTCCTCCCTCCTCCCTCCTCCTCCTCCTCCTCCTCCTCCTCCCTCCCTCCCTCGTCCCCCCGTCCTCCTCCTCCCCTCCCCTCCTCCTCCTCCTCCTCCTCCTCCTCCTCCTCCTCCTAACCATCACGAACCAGAAACGAATAAAACCATCATGCCTTCCCGACTAAAACCAGAACGACGTCCTTATGAAAACCCACTCTCAAGTGGACCAGAGGGCCACGATCCTCGTGAGGGGTGTTCCGGCATTGGGCGTCGGTGGGCCGTCGGCAGCGCTCCACATTGGGCCAGGGCCACGATCCATGTGAGAGGTGTGCCGAACTTCAGCGTCGGGCGGCGATCCAAATGTGGCGAGGTCTACGATCCGTGTGAGGGGTGCACCGATATTGCTCATCGGTGGGCCGTCGGCAGCGCTCCCAGGTGGGCCAGGACACGATCCTCGTGAGTGGCGTGCCGGAATTGGACGTCGGTGGGCCTTCGGCAGCGCTCCCACTTGGACCAGGGCCACGATCCTAGTGAAGTGCGCGCCGGAATCGCGCGTCGGAGGGCCAGGCCCACGATCCTCGAGAGGGTTGTGCCGAAACGAAGCGGCTGGCAGTGGCGGTTGCTCCAAATCCGACGTCGACACGAAGGACAGGTGTAAAACTGTCGTTTTTTGTTCGCTTCTAATACGAATACAATCTACAGCCTCTACAGCGAATAGTGCACGAAGGTAGGCATTGGCGCGAAAGACACGAAGGCCAGGTTTGAAACTAATGTTTTCGTAATTCCCCTGGTAGGAGTTCTATTAGGCCTGATACACAAGAAGAGTACACGAAGGTGAGGTTTGTAGCGACACGAGGACCAGGTGCAACCCTACTACTACTACTACTACTACTACTACTACTACTACTACTACTACTACTACTACTACTACTACTACTACTACTACTACTACTACTACTACTACTACTACTACTACTACGACTACGACTACTTACTACTACTACTACGACTACTACTACTACTACTACTACTACTACTACTACTACTACTACTACTACTACTACTACTACTACTACTACTACTACTACTACTACTGTCAAGGGCCCTGATTGCTTGCCGTTCCACCCGCCGCGGCCCCCAGGTTTCTCGTGGAGTTCTAGTCAACGATCCCACCAGTTACCCTGGCGACGTACCCAACCCCTGCGCAATGCGGGGCACGAGTAGCCTGGGACACGTTATACAGAGGTGATGGCGTGACATGGGCGCATAATTCTGCGAGCGGCATTCGTGAGGCTCGCAGCCCCCCAGATATGGCGAGGTCCGGCTCAGATTTGCGTGATGCCTCACTCCGCTGGGCTCGCCAGCAGCCTTCGAAAGTGGTGACAGTTTCGCGGATCGCAGCCCCCCGAAGACGGCGAGATCCCGCTCAGATCTGCACCGTGCCTCACTCCGCTGGACCCACCAGCAGCCCGCGAAAGTGGCGACAGTTTCGCAGATCGCAGCCCCCCCAAGGACGGCGAGGTATCGCTCAGATCCGCGCGGTGCTTCGCCCCGCTGGGCCCACCAGCTGCCCTCGAAAGTGGTGACGACGAGGTCTCGCTCAGATCCGCGCGGTGCCTCACTCCACTGGACCCACCAGCAACCCTCGAAAGTGGCGACAGTTTCGCAGATCGCACCCCCCCAGGGGCGGCGAGGTCTACCTCAGATCTGCGCGGTGCCTCACTCCGCTGGGCCCGCCAACAACCCTCGAACGTGGCGACAGTTTCGCAGATCGCAGCCCCCCAGGGACGGCGAGGTCTACCTCAGATCTACGCGGTGCCTCACTCCACTGGACCCACCAGCAGCCTCCGAAAGTGGCGACAGTTTCGCAGATCGCAGCCCCCCAGGGACGGCGAGGTCCGGCTCAGATCTGCGCGTTGCCTCGCGCCGTTATGCCCACCAGCAGCATTCGAGAGCGGCGACAGTTTCGCAAGCGCAGTGCTTCACTCCGCTGGACCCACCAGCCACCCTCGAAAGTGGCGACCGTTTCACAGATCGCAGCCCCCCCAGGGACGGCGAGGTCTACCTCAGATCTGCGCGGAGCCTCACTATGCTGGACCCACCAGCAGCTTTCGAAAGTGGTGACAGTTTCGCAGATCGCAGCCCCCCCAGGGACGGCGAGGTCTACCTCAGATTCGCGCGGTGCCTCACTCCGCTGGCCCCACCAGCAGCCTTGCGAAAGCAGCGACAGTTTCGCAGATCGCAGCCCCCCAGGGACGGCGAGGTCCCGCTCAGATATTCTGCCTCACTCCGCTGGACCCGCCAGCAGCCTTCGAAAACAGTTTCGCAGATCGCAGCTGCTGGTGGGTCCAGCGGGGTGAGGCACCGCGCAGATCTGAGGTAGACCTCGCCGTCCCAGGGGGGCTGCGATCTGCGAAACAGTCGCCACGTTCGAGGGCTGTTGGTGGGCCCAGCGGGGTGAGGCACCGCGCAGATCTGAGGTAGACCTCGCCGCCCCTGGGGAGCTGCGATCTGCGAAACTGTCGCCGCTGTCGAGGGCTGCTGGTGGGTCCAGCGGGGTGAGGCACCGCGCAGATCTGAGCGATACCTCGCCGCCCCTGGGGGGCTGTGATCTGCGAAACTGTCGCCGCTGTCGAGGGCTGCTGGCGGGTCCAGCGGGGTGAGGCACCGCGCAGATCTGAGGCAGACCTCGCCGTCCCTGGGGGGCTGCGATCTGCAAAACGGTCGCCACGTTCGAGGGCTGCTGGTGGGTCCAGCGGGGTGAGGCTCCGCGCAGATCCGATGTAGACCTCGCCGTCCCTGGGGGGCTGCGATCTGCGAAATTGTGGCCATTTTCGATGGCTGACGGTGGGTCAAGCGGAGTGAGGCACCGCGCAGACCTCGCCGTCTTTGGGGGGTTGCGATCTGCGAAATTGTCGCCACGTTCGAAGGTTGCTGGTGGGTCCAGCGGAGTGAGGCACCGCGCAGATCTGAGGTAGACCTCGCCGTCCCTGGGGGGGGCTGCGATCTGCGAAACTGTCGCCACTTTCGAGGTTGCTGGTGGGTCCAAGCGAGTGAGGCACCGCGCAGCGCAGATCTGAGCGACGCGCCGGGGGGGCTGCGATCTGCGAAACGGTCGCCACTTTTCGAGGTTTGCTGGTCCTTCCGGTGCCTCACTCCGTGGACCCACCAGCAGCCTTCGGAAGTGGCGACAGTTTCGCAGATCGCAGCCCCCCCCAGAGACGGCGAGGTCTACCTCAGGTCGCGCGGTGCTCACTCCGCAGGACCCACCAGCAGCCCCGAAAGTGACGACAGTTTCGCAGATCGCAGCCCCCCAGGAAGCGGCGAGAGAGAGGAGGAGGAGGAGGAGAGGACGAGGCGGGGGAGAGGAGGAGGAGGAGGCGGCGGAGGAGGAGGGGAGGAGGAGGAGGTCCTCCCTCCTCCTCCCTCCTCCTCCTTGATCCCCCTGGGATCTTCGATCCTCGATCCCTCCTCCTCCTCCTTCATCCCTCCTCCTCCTCCTCCTCCGCCTCGGTACCCCTCCCTCCCTCCTCCTCCCTCTCGCCTCCTCCTCCTCCTCCTCCTCCTCCTCCTCCTCCTGCTCCTCCTCCTCCCCTCCTCCTCCTCCTCCTCCTGCCTCCCCTCCTCCTCCTCCTCCTCCTCCTCCTCCTCCTGCTCCTCCTCCTCCACTGGGGCGGCATGCGGCGGCATGCGCGGCGGCGGCCTCGGCCCTGGACCTCTGGGCCTCGGCCCTCGGCCCCCGACGGCCCCACGACGTCGTCGTCGGCGTCCTCGTCGTCGTCGTCGTCGTCGTCGTCGTGGTCGCCGATGTTTTCGAGACTTCCGGAGACCGCGTATTGAAAAAAACACGGCATAGGATCTCTGGAAAGGTACCCATACCGCTACCCTTCGCCCGTTTCCCCTTATCATTCGCCCTCCTGTGAGGCTCTCGTCGCCACCGTTGGATTCGCCTCGAGATTCTGGTCAGAACGCACTCCTGGAGAGGTGCGGGGAGTGGTGGTATCATGAGCAGCAAGTCGATCCTGCGCCTCGAACGAAATCCAAATCTACAGCAACACACGTAAGACAAAACGATTAGGGCCCTGGGCCCCACCGTTCTGGGTTATTTTTCGAGTCGGATCGTTCGGCAAGGTCCCAGGGCCCCGAAACAATGCAAAGTCGCCCGCAGCGAGAAATTGAGGCGCCAGGATCTCAGGGGATGCCATGATCCTCGATTGAAAATAATCAGACCGTTGGAGCTTTGGGCATCTTGATGCCGAGGATGGGATACAGACAGGACACCGGGAAAGGGGAGAGAAGCCGCTTCGTGATGAGGCCTTGCCGAAGCCCCCAGAATGGGAGCCAGAGCCGCTGAGCCAGGTCTGCCGCAGCTGGTGTTGTTTTTTCGGGTGGCGGCGGCTCCGGTTAGTGGACTGGGGCGGGGGGCGCCCCCCGGTACAAATCATTGAACCAGGTCCCACTGAACCTCGTCCTCCTCCTCATCCTCCTCCTCCTCCTCCTCCTCCTCCTCCTGCTCCTCCTTCCTCCTCCTCCCGCTCACGCCCGACGGGAGCCAGCCCGCACCGCGCGCCCTGGCCCCTGCCGAGCCCGTCGCCTCCAGGTCGGCGGCCGGCGCCGCGGTGCCCCCCGCGCCACCCGAGCCGCCGGAGCCGGCCGCGGCGGACGGCCGCGGCCGCGGCGAGGACGACGAGGCCTCCGCGGGGGAGGGGGGCTCCTCCCCAGGAGGCCCTCGTCGCAGGCCGAGAGGTGGACGCCAACACCAATATCGGCGGTGTGCTTCCACCGAGGGAGGAAGATCCCGATCTCGGTGATGGTGGTAATGTTCTGGCTTCCGAGGTGACCGAGCTATTGCCGCCAACACCGAGATCCAGGATCATCTTCCCCATGTAGAGGCAACCCCCTGTGTTGGTGTTGGTGCCAATTTCGAGGCTTCTTACCTCGCGACGTGAGAAAGGTTCTCTTCCTCCTCCCCCCCCTCCACCCCTTGTCCTTGTAAAAAATCATTCCCTGTCGCACCCCGAGACGTGTCGGCAGGACGGTCTGGCCGTTTCGCCTGAGGCGTCCTCACCACTGATGGTGCTTATGTTTAACGAGCTTGTAAGAGCTTCACGGATGGAGGGCGGGTCGTCTTCAGAACGTGGTTCTCGCTTTAGCCCCGCGTGGATTTGGTTGAAAAGCTTGCAGCAGCTTCACGGATGGAGGGCGGGTGGTTTTCAGCATGCTGTTCTCGCTTCAGCGCCGCGCACATTCTTTTCAAAAGTTTGCAACCGCCTCAAAGATGGAGGGCTAGTTTTTAAACCTGCAGATCTTGCTTGAGCGTTTCGCACAAGCGTGCTAGAGGCTTGCAGCCCTTCCAAAAAATGGAGGGCCAGGCCGCGCCCATTCGTGCTTCAAGTTCGCAACCATTTCAAGGGTGGAGGGCAAATCCGTTCCAAAATGTGGCTCTAGCGTAAACGCCGCTCACATTCGTGCTAATAGTTCGCCGCAGATTCACGGATAGAGGGCGGACAGTGTTCAAATTGCGATCCTCGCTTAAGCGCCGCGCGCATTCGTTTTAAAAGGTTGCAGTTGGTTCAGGGATGGAGGGCGGTTCCTTTTCAAATGGTGGCTCTCGCTTTAGCGCCACGCACATTCGTTCTAAGGATTCGTCTCGTGAATGTTCCAGGCAGGTTTTTTCGCACACTTTGGGACTGTTAGGACGCAGCGGTATTGCCGATTCGCGGTGTTGACATCCCAGAAGTGGTGCTCTGGCAGTTTCTCAGGACGCAACAGTCACGTTGATCCGTTGCGTTGTAGTCCCAGGGATGGTATCTGGGCACGATTCAGGATTCGCTTGTGGCACTTTCCGCAATGAAAATGAATGCGCATAGGCGCCAAACAAGAAGGAAGTTCGAGGGTGGGGTTGTTGCAAACTCGTTGATGCGTCTTGAGTTTACACCATTCGTCCTCCTCATCCTTCCTTCACGTCCGGTGTGAGAGAATAGCAGGCTAGTGTTGTAACAAGTTGTCGGGCTAGTCTTGTTCACACGGTGGTCTTCTGTGCTGTGGGCACGTATCTAATGAGAGCCAGGATTGTAGTGTGTCCACTCATGTCCAAGAGCTGTGCGCAAGCAAAGCAAGCTCCTTCCCTAGCTGGGGGGGGATCGGGTTGGACGGAAGAGGGAAGATTGGGACAGATGTTTGGGCGTTTTCGTCGGCTCCCGGGTCTTTTTCCAGCATCGGGGTGCTCTCCAGCAGCTGCGCCTCGCCGAGGGCGGTCTGGGGTTGCCTGGATTGCCCCGCACGGCCGCCAGACACTCGAGTTATGATCCCGAAACCAGGCGACGAGGATCACTGGGGTCAGACAAGAGGGCCAGCATCCTTCATCCCATCCCCATCCCCATCCCCCTCGAGACCCCCACCAGAATACCACCACAGTTGGGGATACACCCCATCGAAACCCAAAGGGAACGACCTATATCCCCATCTAGGGGGGTAAATCGGCCAGTGGGGCCCAGGCCACGCCGCTGGGGATGGGGATCGGATTCACGATACTCAGAGGGGGGGGGATAGGAACATGGTGGGCCATATTTTACTGCATGCCGCTGGTTTCGGCCCCGCCGCCGGGCGCTGTCCTCGATGCATCGGCGCCCGGGAAACCAGGTGCGTGAGCCGAGTCACTCACACCCATTTCAAGTTACAGCCGAGCGTGTGATTCAGAAACCTCCCCCTAAAAGCTGGACCGGCCTTTCTTCACCAACTTGCCAGAGAGCTGGCTCAGTGTATTGCGCGCATTCGCCCCTCCAGCGTCAACAACAGAAATTGGCCCTGTTTTTGTTTCAGAAGCGTCCAGGAAGCTGGTCCGGATTTCTCACGTGATGATCTAAGTAGTTTATGCCATTCCGCCGACACTCAAGAAGGAACGAGTGCTTGCGACGATCTTGGAAATTATCCCGTGGGTCAGGAGCTCCTTGGATGCATTTGAAGGGCTCGTGGGATGCCTCTCAGGGGCCTCTTGGAGGCCTCTTGGGGGCATCTGGGGGCCTTTCGGGCCTTCTTGGGGGTCTCCTGGGGGCTTCTTGGGGACCCCTTCGGAGCCTCTGGGGTATCTTGTGGGCGCCACGGGGGCGTCGGGGGGGCTCTTGGGGCCATCTTGGGGAGAAAGGCTCGAAATAACAGTTCGTTTCCCCCTTCTTGGGCCCCTCCTAGGGCTCTCTTGGGTCTCTCTTGGGCCTCTTGGGGGGCCTCTGCGACCATCTTGGGGTCCTCGTGGGTTGTCGTGGGGACCCCTTGGAGGCCTCATGGGCCTTGTTGGGACGATCTTGGGAGCCCCTTGGGCCGTCTTGGACGCTGCCAAGACGCAAAAGGTGAGCATGCTAAAAGTGCACGCTTCCCTGAGGGAATGTGAGAATTTGTGCCTCTTGGGGCCCTCTCGGCGGCACTCCAGGAACATTCTTGGGCCGTCTTGGAGGCGCGTGGACCGTCTCGAAGCCATCTTGGACCATCTTGGGGTGACCCTTCGCCGTCTCGACACTCTCGTGGACTGTCTTGGCGCTCTGTCTGGGCCCTCTTGGGCGGTCGTGGGGCGTTTGGGAGGCTCTGGAGACACCGGGGGTGCGTTGACGAGTTCGCCGCCCCCCTCCAAGCGGCATTTTGGACCCCAGGGGAGGGGGAAATGGGAACGGGGACAGCCAAATGTCTCACACGCCTTTTCAACCCCTGCAAGAGGGGGTCGGCGGATTTTCTTGACCGTACGTTTGGCTACCCCCTGTCTTCGTCCAGCCCGAGATGGCCTTCGCCCTTTTCGGGAGGTGGGCCTTCGGGACGCTTCTCGTCGCAGCGGCTGAACTCGAATTGAAGTTTTGACCAGAGCCTCTTGAGGGCTTACGGTGTGAGCAAATGTTGCCGCAGGTCGCGTTGCTTGCTTCTCAGATTTGGACGCCCGGAATGGGTACGGAAAAAATGGGTACAATGCCCAAGAACACATGTAGTCCCAAACCAAGAGCGGCCGCTGTTGGGCAGGCGGCTTTCTGTCTCACGCAGGCCGCGGCGACACCGACAGCGAGTCCGGTTCAAAATGCACATGAACCGCTGTTGGGCACTGTACCCATTCTTTCCGTACCCTTATGTCGGGCCTGTCCCTCTACAGGAGGAGTATTCCAAAGTAAAAAAAAAACTCTGGAGACTATTTTTGAGTATTTGTTTAAACCATGTTGGTGCACGTTTTGGCTATTTCTTATTTTTCGTCCAAAACCCCTTGTAGGAGGACAGGCCCGACTTAACCGTACCCGTTGTCGTTCGTGCCGATCAGACGAGGGTCCTTCGCAGCAGCTTCTTCGGTCCTCCTCGAAGGGTCGGCGTGCTGAGAGCGCGCCAGTCGCCCGCCCTCGGGCCGCTCTCTCCCAAGCGTTTTGACGGCCGTTCGCTACCCTCACCGCGGGAGCGATGCGGGGAGGTTGTCTTTCTGGGCGGGTGGTGCATATGGTTCGTTTCCAAGTTTTCGAAAGTTCTTTGATTTTTTGGGGGACCAAGATCCTTTCTTTTCTACGTGTTCTATCCTTGGGCCACTTCCTGGCCACTAGGGGGCCAGGAACAGTTAGAATCGAGCGCAGTTAGAAATGAGCACGATTAGAAATGGGCGACGTGTAAAGGGGGGGGACCCGAATTGGGGATGAAACGAAGGTCCCTAAAAGGGCCGTTCCTCGCCCCCACGCATGCAGGTCACACACCCCCCACCCCGCCCCCGGGGCGCACCTGCTCGGGCACCTCGGGCCTGCCCGATGCTCGGACTGCTTGGTGAGCCCGCGCAGACCCCGCGCAGCTGGACAGGAGAGGGTGCATAGGCGGGCTCCCAGAGACTTCCTTCGAGTAGGAGATCGACGACAGAATTGATGTACCCCAATATTGGTTTGCTCGACGAATCCATGAACAATGCGTAGAATGCTCGCGGATCTACGAACAGCATGCGCATTGTTCACGGATTCGGCGAGAAAATCTCTCTGGGTGAAGTCAATCCTGGGGGAAAGCAATTCTGGGGCAAATCGATTATGGTGTCGCTCCCCTGCTCGATTCCTCTCAGGGACAGCTGTTTTTCTTCCAGCTCGCCGTGACCCACCTGGGGCCCGGACTCGGCCCCCAGATCCTTCGGAGTTGGATAGACCTCCTACCCTGACACGTCGATTAGTGAATAGGCTTTTTTCGGTTCGCGAGAGGGCGTCACAGCCGTTATTTCTGCGGGTCCAGGTCCGTCGGTTTCGGTCCTAGGCAGTTTTCACTAAAGGGTGGTGTTCTAAAGGGAGGTTTGTCCACCGCCGAATCCCGGAGAGCGAGGCAACGGAGGCCTCGACCGTCGCAGGACGGCGAAGGCCTGGAGCCGCAGGCGGGCTCTGCCACCTCCCGCAGCCCCCGGAGCACTGGGTCAGAGAGCGGGTCGCAGCGAAGGGAGGCCAGCGGGAGGAGGAGGAGGAGGAGGAGGAGGAGGAGGAGGAGGAGGAGGAGGCGGAGGCGGAGGCGGAGGAGGAGGCGGAGGCGGAGGCGGAGGAGGAGGCGGAGGAGGAGCAGGAGGAGGAGGAGGAGGAGGAGGAGGAGGCGGAGGAGAAAGAGGAGGAAAAGGAGGGCAGGGACGGAGGAGGAGGAGGAGGAGGAGGAGGCGGAGGAGGAGGCGGATGAGGAGGAGGAGGGCGGTTTCCGGGCCCGCAGGTGAGGGAGGCCAGCGGCGTCCGCCTCCGCTCGAGGCCAGGCCTCTGCGGCCCTCGGCCCCGCAGCCCCCCGGGCGCAGGCCTTCGGGCAGAGCCTCGGCTGCCCGAGGGCCTCGCCGCGCCTCGAGCTTGCTGGGGGCGCAGGGCCTCCGCGGGCGCCTCGCCGCCATGGCCGCGAAGAAGCGGAGCTTCGACGTGGACCTGGACCTGCTGTTCCACAGCAGCAAGGATCCCCGGGGGGGAGAGAAAGAGGTGCCCCTATACCCCTACCCTTCGCTCGTTCTCCCCTCGCTGGGCCTCCTGGGTCGCCCTCGTCGCCACCGCTGGATTCGCCTCGAGATCCTGGTCGGAACGAACCCCGGGAGAGGTCTGGGGAGTAGCGGTATCGGTACCTTTTGGTGTCGCCAGGATCGGGGAAACGTAAGGCTCGAGCACGCCAGAACTAGGGTTTGCCAACGCTTTGTTGACGAGCGTGTCCCGGAGTTTGGCGGTCCAGTTTTCGTGGGATGTTTGCAGCGGGAGCTCGCGTCAAATTTCAGACGGGGTCTCGTCAGTTTCATGATGGCCCCGTCAGTCCAACCCGAGTCCCCCGTACCCGAGTTCTACGTCTCCCCGAAAGGACAGGAAGCACGACACGAAGCAGCGGTCCGAGAGCGACCTGCAGGTGGTCACGTGCCTCCGCTGCCTCGCGATGGACGCCGTGCAGACGGCCAACTCGGGGCACCCAGGCACGCCCATGGCCATGGCGCCAGTGGCGTACGCGCTCTGGGCCCGCGTGCTGCAGTACGACCCAGCGGACCCCACTTGGCCGAACCGCGACCGTTTCGTGCTGTCAATGGGCCACGCTTCGATGCTGCTCTACGGCCTCCTGCACATAGCGGGGGTTCGGGACGTGGACTCCCACACCGGGCAGGTGCTCGATTCGATGTCGGTGCCGATGGAGGCAATCAAGACGTTCCGCAAACTCGACTCGAGGTGCCCAGGCCACCCAGAGTACCGCTGGACCGCTGGCGTGGAGACGACAACTGGGCCGCTGGGGCAGGGGGTCGCCACGAGCGTCGGCATGGCCATAGCCTCCAAGTGGCAGGAGGCGAACTTCAACAAGCCCGAGTTCGAGCTGTTCAGCTTCGACGTCTTCGCCCTGTGTGGCGACGGCTGCCTCCAGGAGGGCGTGGCTCACGAGGCGGCATCGCTTGCCGGGCACCTGAGGCTGGACAACCTCTGCTGGATCTGGGACAACAACCAGATCACGATCGACGGCAACACCGCGTGGGCCATCTCCGAGGACGTGGCTACGCGATTCATCGCGTACGGATGGAATGTCCTCCGCGTCGGCGACGCCAACGACGTGGACGCCTTGGAAAGAGCGATCCGAGTCTTCAAGCGGGAAAAGCAGCGGCCGACTTTTATCATCGTAGATTCCCACATCGCCTGGGGAGCACCCACCAAACAGGACACGTTCAGTGCGCACGGGTCGCCCCTCGGCGAGGCGGAGATTGCCGCAACGAAGAGGATCTACGGCTGGCCAGAGGACGCGAAGTTTCTGGTGCCGCCCGAGGTTCCCGCCTACTTCCAGAAGCAGCTGGACTCCCGCGGGGGAGCGGCGAGGAGGGACTGGTACACGGCCTTCAAGAAGTACCAGGCATTGTATCCAGCGGAGGGTGCGATAATCGAGGGCATGAAGAGTGGGAAGCTGCCGGAGGGCTGGGATCGTTTCTGCAAGGAGTTCCCTGCAGACGCGAAGGGCCTGGCCACGCGTCAGTCCTCCAGCCAGGTGCTCAACATGGTGGCGCAAGGCGTGCCGTGGCTCGTCGGCGGCTCCGCGGATCTGAGAAATTCTTGCCTTACTGGGCTGAAGTTTGATGGAGCTGAAGAGTTCATGGCACCGCTTACAGGTTGGGGCACCTACCGCGGGCGAAACATCAACTTTGGTATCCGAGAGCACGCGATGGGTTCCATTTGCAATGGCCTAGCCGTCTCGGGTCTTCGGCCCTTCTGCTCCACTTTCCTTGTCTTCAGCGACTACATGAAACCCCCAATTCGAATGGCTTCAATTATGGAGATTCCATGCATTTGGATCTTCACCCACGATTCTATAGGTGTTGGTGAGGACGGCCCAACACACCAGCCTATCGAGCATCTTGCTGCGTTGCGCTCCGTTCCAGGTTTGTTAACATTTCGGCCTTGCGATGCCAACGAGGTGCTCGAGATGTGGAAGGTGATCATTACCCTCACGCACGAGCCTGCAGCAGTAGTCTTGTCACGCCAAGCATTGCCAACACTGGACCGTTCAGTATTCGCACCAGCTAGTGGCCTGTCTAAGGGGGCATACATCCTTAAAGACACCGAGGAACCATTGGAATTGATTCTCATGGCGACGGGCAGCGAGGTGAGCGATGGAAGAAAAGGGGTCGATTTCTCTGACTTTCGCGCAAAAGTTTCCCGCATAAGCTCGCTCGTCAGCGCCCTCGTCTCCACGTGGTGTATGACGCTGGCGGCCCGCGTAAGCCGCGGCTGAAGGTCGCTACGGCTTCTCGCGCAAGTCCCGTTTCGCTTCGTCGCGCAGGTGGCCCTCATGGTGCAGGCATACGACATGCTGAAAGCCGAGGGCTGCGCAGTCCGTTTGGTGAGCGTGCCCTGCGTGGAGCTGTTCAAGCAGCAGAGTGCGGAGTACCAGGAAAGCGTTCTGCCAGGCTCGTGCCGCGCCCGCGTCTCCATCGAGGCGGCCACGAAAGACACGTGGGGGTCCTTTATTGGGCTGGACGGCGAGCATATAGGCATGATCACGTTCGGTGCTTCTGCCCCTATTAGTGCCCTGCACAAGGAGCTGGGCTTCACGGCCGAGGAAGTCGTCGCGGCGGCAAAGCGGGTCATGGCAAGGAACCCCCGCTCTGTGGACAGCGAGGCTACCGTAGCCCGCCAGTGGAAGCGCAAGCGGAGTGCGAGTCTACTCGATCTGGGCACGGCCCTCTGAAGGCTGTTTCAGGAGTGGCGAGTGGCTCCGCCTCTCGTGCCCGCTGCAGCTGGATGCGAAGTATGGTGCAACGGTCCGTGCAGTTTTGGTCTGCTGAGATGCTGCGCAAGGACCACGTAGATAGTTGATGTGTCCGCTTCGCGCACTCCGCCGGCCACTGTTTTGTGTTTACGGAGCTCTACGAGGTCCCCGGTGGTAACTTGGTTGACGGTTTACCGCCGGCACCCAGTTCTCAAGTCGATTTTGAAAGTTTCATTGGTTTAAATTTCTTTCAAATTTTCGAAAGTTTGCCTTGAAAGTCAAAGTGAAAGTCCAAGCTCTACTTTGATCTTGACTTTCAAACTCCACGTTGCGTCGGTGATGCCCGCGGACCTGCCAGGAGCTCACAGGAGCGGCGGCTCTTGCGCAGCCGACAGCACCCGGGATGGACGAGGGCCCGTGCGGACCACCCCCCATGGGGACCGCACTGCGGCTGGCCACGGAGGGGCCCGCGGGCACGCGACCTGCTGCGCACACGGCGGCACCCACGGAGGGCGAGGGAGGGGAGTCGAGGAGCAAACGAAGGGGAGCCGAAAAGGAAATGAGGAGAAGGCGATGAGGAAAGGAGGAAACGGGAGGAGAGAGAGAGAGAGGGGGGGGGGAAAGAGAGAGAGAGGGAGAGGGAGAGAGAGAGGGGGAAAAGAGAGAGAGAGAGAGAGAGACAGACACAGAGACAGACAGGAAGAGAGAAAGAGAGAGAGAGAGAGACAGACAGAAAGATAGAGGAGGAAGGAGGAAGGGAGGGATGAAGGAGGAACCAGTAAGGTAGAAGCAAAACAAGTACCCCACCAGAGGAGGGTCGGAAACCAAGCGAGTGTGCGCTTCCCTGTGCCTGGCCTGCTCGGGGGCCTCCGACGGGGAGGCCCTCTGCCATCGTGAGCCACGTTTGTGCTGCATCGGGCCGTGCTGGACACTCCGGGAGCCCCTCGGGGCCTCCGGGGGCCGCCGCGGGACCCTGCCGGGGCCCGTCAGGGACTGAGCTGCGTCCAGCTGGGCGGCGCTCGCCCTGCTGCCGCGCTGCTCCTCGACACTCCTGGGGCCGGTCTCGGGGGGTTCTTTGGGCCGCCGTGGGGCCAGCTCGGGAGGCCTCTTTGGACGCCGGTGGGGCCATGTGTTGGGGCGTCCTGGGCCGTTTTGGACTCGGGCCGTCTGGGCCCATCTTGGGCAGTCCTGGTCGCATCTTGGCCCGTATCGGAGACATCTTGAAGCTATGTCGGGTTCTCGTGGGGTAACCCTGGCCGTCTTGGGGTTTGTCTTGGCCGTTTAGGGGGCCATCTTGGAGCCGTTTGGGAAACAGTTTGGAGCGGGAAGATCGATGAACTGGGAAGTGTGCGGGTCCTCATTCCGTGCCAGCGGGATCGGTCGAAAAACCAACGACAAATTTTGAAACTTACATAGAACTGTTCCCTAAAGGCTGGCACGCCGTGCACCCGTTTGGCAACCCAACAGGGGGTGGCGGATCGAAGACGCCTACGGCGAACTACCACAGCCCCCTGCCTTTTAGAAGCGACTACGTGATCGAACGTTACGGCCAGAGTTCGGCCGATCGGTCGGATCATGCATTCCCCCAGTCGTTGTGGAAACGTTTCGGGGAACACGTGGGGGGGAACGAAGGGAACCAGGAGAGGTGTCGTCGGATTTTCCCAGAGGTCCTCCGAGGCATCTTGGAGACCTCTTGGGCCGCCTCGGGTCATCTTGGGTTCATGTTGTGCAGTCCTGGATGCATATTGGCCGTTTTGGAAACATTTTGGGACCATGTTGGCTTCTCCGGGGGGCACCGCAGCCGTGTTGAAAACCATCTTGGCCGTCTTCGATGCCATCTTGGGGCCCTGTAAAGCGGGAAGGCCGACGAAGTGGTAAATTTAGGGGATCGTATGGAGCGTGAAGACCGACGACCTGGGAAGTTCATGGGTCATTAATTCACGCTGGCGGGGTCGGCGAAAGGTCCGCTATACATTTTCAGCAGGACCCAAAACTACGTAGCACCCTGCAGGTGCGGAGAAGAGTGAGGGGGCGGTGGGGACGTCGACAGTCTGTGAGACTCTGGAGAAGCCCGCCGCAGGCGCCAAAGTTTCTCAAATGATACAACGAGCCCGCCGCAGGCGCCGATTTCTTCGTATATCATATAAGCGGCGTCCGGGGGCCCGCGGGCCGGGATCGCAAACTTTTCCCAAACTCCCCCCCCTCTCCCCTCGTAACCGAATTTGCCCCCTGGGCTGCGGGGGGGCAGTTTTGGCATCCAGGGGCCCGTTTTCGGAGTCGCGGAACTTTTTCCGCTTCCCCGAGGCGTCAACCTAGGCGTCTGGAGACGGCAAGAAGCCGCCAAGACGGCCCAAGAGCGCTCCAAGCCGCCCAAGATGGGCCCATAAGGCCCCCAAGAAACCCCAAGGTCGCTTCGCGAGCGCCTCCAAGAGAGCCCCAAGACGCCAAAATCATTGATGTTTGTGCTGTTTTCCAATAGTTGTTGCTTTCTCATGTATTCGAGCGGCCGACTCTCCAAGACTGCCAAGAAGTTTCCAAACTCGCCCCAAGACGGCCCAAGAGGGCCGCATGATCGGCCCAAGAGACCCCCGAGACGGCCCAAGAGGGCCTGAAGAGGGCCTGAAGACGGCTCGAGTATAGGCCCAAGAGAGGGAACGCGAACCGACCTTTCGGGCTTCCCGCCCCCAGAGGCCCCCACGAGGCCCCAAGAGGCCCCTAAGTGGCTTCAAGAGGCTCCAAAGAGGCCTAAGAGAGGTCCGACAAGCTCCACAACGCCCCCGTGGAGGCTTCAAACCTGCTTCCAAAAGGCCCCCCGAGAGGCATCCCACGATATCCTCCCAGCGAACATCCGAGAAGCCTCTAACCCACAACCCAGACACGGTGGCGGAATGGGCCCAGAACTGAGACCTCTGGTTCGCATGAAGGGCCGGGGGGGCCTTGAGGGCTCCAAGAGGGTTCAGAAGGGGCCCCGGACCCCCCCAGAGGCTCCCAAGCTGGCCCAAGATATTCCCAGGAGGCTCCAGAGAGCCCTCCACATGCCCGAACAGAGGCGCCCGCTGCCCCAAGAGGCACTCAGGAGGCCCCAAGAGACTCCCAGGAGGCCTCCACGACGCCCCAAGAAGCCCCCAAAAGGGCTCCAGAGAGACCCGAGAAGCTCCCGAGAAACCCTCACCGAGCTCGCAGGAGGCCTCCTACACAGACCCTCAGAAGCCCGCCAGAAGCATTTCGTCCTACATGCTCCAGAACAGCCCTTCGGAACACGTGGCCCTGGCTGCATGGGTCGCGGGTGGGTCGCGGGTGGGTCGTTGTTGGGTCGCGGGTGGGTCGCGGGTGGGTCGCGGGTGGGTCGCGGGTGGGTCGCGGGTGGGTCGCGGGTGGGTCGCAGGTTGGGTCGCGGGTGGGTCGCGGAGTGGGTCGCGGGTGGGCCGCGGGGTGGGTCGCGGGGTGGGTCGCGGGTTGGACGACGACAACAAACAGACAAGAACAACGCAACAACGCAACAATCAGAACTTTCACCACGGATCCCCACTTCAGCCACGCACCCAGGGACAATGAATGACCGTTCGGCCCCCTCACTCTGACCTAACGTTTGGCACCCCAGGCACCCCTTTGATAAATCAGTAGAGGGCGGCGGATCGAAGACGCCTACGGCGAATCACCGCCGCCCCCTGCCTTTTTGGAAGCGCCCATGAGACCGAACGCTGAGGCCAGACCTGCCAAGCTATCGGACCATGTGTTCCCCGAATCGGTTTGGAAAGCCTTCGGGGAACACGTGGGCATCTTGAAGGTCATCTTGGCCGCCTGGAAGCCATTTTGACCCTTCTTGAAGGACATCTTGGAGGGCTCTTAGGCCGTCTTGGAGGCCATCTTGAGCGTTTTGGAGACCTCTTGGGCCGTCTTGGGGGCCTCTTGGGGCCGTCTCTTGGGCCTCTTGGGCGATCTTTGGGGGCACTTGGGCCGCCTCGGGCCGTTGGAAGCCCGAAAAAAAACAAATGCCACAATCCTTCAAAAACCAATGGGAAATCAATGATTTTGGCCTTTGTCGGGCCTTCCTGGAGGCCCTCTTGGAGGCCTCTTGGGCCATCTTAGGGCCATGTTCGGCCGCCTTGGTGGGCTCCTGGTCCGTCTGACGCCGTCGGAAGCCGTTTGGGGGGCCTCTATGGGCCGACTTGGGGCCCTCTTGGAATGCGCCAGGGCCGTCTTGGAGGCCATCTTGGGCGTCTTAAAAGCCTCCTGTGCCGTCTTGGGGGCCTCTTGGGGCCGTCTTGGGGCCCTCTTGGGCCGTTCTGGGGCCATCTTGGAGGCCTCTTGGACGATCTTTCGGCGATCTTTGGGGGCTCTTGGGCCGTCTCGGGCCGTCGGAAGGCCGAAAAGAAGCAAATGTCAAAATCCATCAAAAACCTTGTGGGAAATCAAGGTTTTTGGCCTCTTCTGGCCGTCCTGGAGGCCCTCTTGGAGGTCTCTTGGGCCGTCTTGGGCCAGCTTCGAGCCAACTTCGGCCATCTTGGTGGGTTCCTGGCACGTGTGACGCCGTCGGGAGCCGTCTTGGGGGCCTTTCTGCGCCGACTTGGGGCCCTCTTGGGGCGCTTCGGGGCCGTCTTGGAGGCCATCTTGGGCGTCTTGGAGGCCATCGTGGGCGTCTTGTTGGCCTCTTGGGCCGTCTTCGGGCCCTCTTGGGGCCGTCGTGGGGGCCTCTTGGGTCGTCATGGGGGCACCTTGGAGGCCTCGTGGGCGATCTTGGGGGCCTCTTGGGCCGTCGGAAAGCCGAAAAGGCGCAAATGCTAAAATCTGTCACAAACCCAACGGAAATCAACGATTTTGGCCTCTTCGGGCCTTCCTGGAGGACCTCTTGGAGGCCTCTTGAGGGCCTCTTGGGCCGTCTTGGGCCATCTTGAGGCTATCTTAGGCCGTCTTGGGTGCCTCTTGGACCGTCTTGGAGGCATCTTGGGGCCATCTTCGCCGTCTCGGAGGGCATCTTG